CGTTTATTTAAAGTTAGTGCAATATACATTTATTTTTATAAAGCCTATAAATAAACAACTGGAAAGGAAAACAAAGGCTTCTGAAGCATCCAGTATCGAAAGCTGCGTCTACACTATACGTATAACAATACGTTATATAGCAAAGTTATAAAACTTGTTAGAATAATGAAAAATGTTATATAACATTTTCAGACGAAAACCTAGTTATACCGAATTCTTATTATTTTTTTTACGAAGCGTTGACGTTTACAAATTGCAAATATACACTTGGCAACACTTTAGGCAATATTATCTGTCATATGGACGTTATTTTGTATCAGTACTGCGAATCGCCACTTGAGAACCACGTGTTACAGTTTTGTCGATCTATAGATCTTGAGCATTTGAATTTTTGTAGCAGTGTTTTCACTATTTACAACGCATAGTAAATTACTTAAAATGTATCGAAAACAGAATCAAGGCTGTAATTGCAGCGAAAGATAGCGCTACCAAATACCGACTTCATCGTTACTCCTTAACTGTATTTTTTATAACTACATAAGTTAAGTTCAACTGTTTTCGTGTATCTTCAGTGAACAGTCGTTAATTAAAAAATTATCTAACGTGGAAACCTCGATACTGTGATTTTATCTCCACACGAAAACAAAAAACATATTTTCCGTATTGTGCCTCTAATAATTTGATCAACCACTGTACCCACGTACCCTATATCACACGTATCGTTCTTAATAAATCAATCCGCAATACTTGAAATATTTCCAAAATTCTCCGCCATTTTCATTCAGATTAGTCGTAGAAAGCGTTCTGGTTGTTGGGTTTGCGTAATTCACGCGGGATAATTCACTTCTTAAATGACATTAGCCGAGCCGGTTTTACAGCTGTTCACCGGATCTTCATTCCTTCTCCGCTCGCGGAATCTCAATGGCAAACAAAAGGATCGTATCCATTTCCGTAGATCCTAACTCGTGACATCCCCGTAGGGATATATTCTGCGCGGCGACGGCTGCACACCTTACGGGTACAACCGTTAATTCCGTTGTTTACCAGTCGCTTTATTTAATTAGCAAACCGGCAGAAATGCTTTTAACGTCCGCGGATATGATAAATCGCGTTTATATAGCGCGCCTGTAATCATCGGTACCACCAAACACCGTTTAAACGGTTTCGCTATAAAAGCGATAATAATAAATTAAACTTCGTACTTTCACCCTTGGATTCTTAATTAAAAACTAGAACGATTCCTCTTCGTTCCCTGTCGTACTAAATGCAATCATTCTCCTTTTTATTCTACCAACGACCGAAGTTAATATTCCATTTAATTCCCCGTGCACGATATGTTAATTACGGAAACACTTCCGCGATGTTTGGTCGTCGGTCAAACATGGAGGAGTATCGAAGTGAAACGCGTACTTTTCCGTGCAACGTGTACGTTCTCCAAAACTGTATTCATAGGTAGAGCGTCTGCTTCTTATCCTCGCCCTTTCTCCTCGGAAAGAGAAAAAAAAAAACTCGAACCAACGAATCGATAACTCTGGGATTGCGTTGTGCTTAGCATTATGAAAAAAGGGATTACCGTTTCTAAATTCTATCCAGAGATTTTCACTCGTAACACGAATCTCGTCTTTCTCTATCGATTAATCTACGATCAACGTACGTATAGTTTTAACGATAAAAATTTCGTTTCATTTTTACTACTTTTCACACGGTTGTCAAATTATTTCTTCGTCGCGTGAGAAACAACGCAGGAAGGATTTTCTCTTAGCGCCGAAGGGGTACAATTCCTCGTGGTATTCCCTGAGAAATTTTAATCGAAATCCCCACGAAACACAGAGAGAGAGAGAGAGAGAGAGTTAACGTACTCCGTGGGGTGGTTAATCTTCGAAAATTTTCACCTCCCTGTTGCCAGAACCGACGAAAAGGTTCTTGTTCAAATTAGATGGGCGGGGCTGAAGCTCGAGAATACCAACCATCGGCCGCCATCTGCGAACCGTCCCTTGAACAATCTTGGAAACTGCAGCACCGGACTGCAATCGTGTCGCGTTCCAACCGCTGAAACGGGATTCTATGGATTCTCCTTTTCTACCCAAGAGGATTCACCGGTGTGCACTCTTGATCGATGACCAGGATTTCGGGCTAAGTGATCGTTCTTGAAATTGGAAAACGTTACTTTGCTATCTGGTAGAATTTGATGACTCCATCTTTTTCTTTTTTTTTTTTTTGCTTTGAGGTGATGAATCTTCGAGAAATAATTCTTCGGTCGTTCCTCTTCTATTCTTCAAGTTGCACACTGTTCTGATTGAAATAATTTTCATCCTTACTTCAATGGAACTTTAACTCTTTGGACTACTTTGTCGAGCGTGACTCGAGATCAGTTTTATTCACATGTGTGAATGAGGTAATTTCTAAATTGCCAGTTTAAATATGTATTATATTTTGCAATATTCTTTTTACCTGAATGAGCAATAGGACACGTATATATGACCCTTAAGGCTATTTCCAATATAATTAGTAAAAAAGATTGTTTAAATTGGTTCCTATCAACCGAATGTCTTTTCAAGTGCATTTCAAATAAAACTCTTAAAATAATGGGCAATTATTGAAAAGAAAATTTTTTTAAAAAATGTTGAGTTTAAAGGGTTAACACGTTCTATACGAGTGACAGTGATTTTTGAAAGCCTTGGCCAAAAGTATTGGGCACCTTTATTATTACAACTTACCGTGAAAATTATTTCTTTAAAATCCTTCTACGGTTCGTCATCCTTTGAAGTCCAAAGAAATTTTGACAAAGTTGATAAGATTTATAGTGGGCCATGAAACATAGTGTTTCTTCATAACGGTCTCAGTTTTGCTGTTAATATTTTGAAAGTTAGAAAGTTTTTCTTGAAATTCGCCAAAGAAGAGTGAACTGAGTGATCAATGCAAGTAAATTATCTTTTTTTTTTTAAGCGGCGTAACAGTCAGAATGAAATTGTTGTAATTGTAAAATATTCATATTAATGGATTAATAAAATTCATATTTAAAATTAATAAAAGATGACTGTTTCCATATTTCAGTAGCTTGATATCCTCCTGATAAAAAGGTATTTTTAAATAATTCATATTTTATCGGGTGCCTAATACTTTTGGCCAAGGCTGTACGCCGCTCATACTTTCTGGGCCGTAGAGTGGTTTTTTATCATTTGATGTACTCGTTGCTCCATATTTGCCGTTCATAAAAGTGTTTATTTCTTGAAAATAACTGCAGTTTCTATTCTAAGAACTACAGTGCTATGTCAGGGTTCAGAAAAAAGGACATAACCTGCACTCAAAGGCTGTAACCTGATGACCATTACAAACTATCATAACTACTCCTTGAAAAGGAAGAAAATAGGGAAATAAAAATTATTATGTATTCGTAAGAAAGATGTCACTCATAAATGGCCCTTTAGCCCTATGTCACTCTTTTCGAAACGCGTTAAATAATGAAAAAAGATAAAAATTCTTCTATAAAATAATAAAAGTGATTTAAGGAAAGAAAAAGGGTTTGGGCCGTTCCAAAAATTTGCTTAACCCTCCATGTGACTTGAAAGTTACGTATCCATTTATCTATCTATACTTTATAATCTCGTTTTATTTATTCCACTATATTATTATACTATTGCACATCGTTACCAGCCAATTTTGTTATAACAATCATTAAATTTTTACATTTTTTATCTGTAATGTAATTTTATATATCTAATATATCTTATCATTTTTCTCAGAATGCAAAATTGCAACCCTAACTTTCCTTTTCACAAACGAAGAAAAATCAGATTACAGGGCGTTAAGAATGGTCTGGTAGAGAAACACTAATCAACGATTCAGATTCTAAAGAATACTTAATTCTCGTTCGTCAAAATCGAGTGTTTGTCTATAAAGGGGTGTGATGACCGCGTCGGCGTCGCAGCGTCGCGAATTTTCGCGGCTGTTTTCCGCAGTGTGGCCGCAAAAGCACGAATTCGTGCCGACTGCAAGATCAGCTATAGTAGAAATACCTCTAATCCATGATTCACATCTAACCCCGAAATTTAAACCGTTAAATGTTCAATTTATCTCCTTGAATTTCGAAAAAAGGAACAAAATCTACGAACACCGAAACTGTGACAAAAAAGTACCGCGTGGGATGAAATTTTTCTCACCTGTCGGTTAAACAGACAGAAACATACGCTATTCCATAGTTGAGTGTATCTTGTCACAGTACATAACATATGTGTGCGTTTGTTCCCACTGGCAACTTCGTCCCAGATATCCGAGGGCGGGTTTCCGGCCGCGTATTATTCGGGGGTTAGCAGCGAGACGTGCGCAAAGTCCCCGAGAATAATTACAAGTTCGCCATTGAATCCGGAATGCGCTAAACAACGCAGAAACAGCCGCATTGCGATTCAATGATTAATTCAATCTCCCGGCTAATGCACACTGATCCGGTTCCACGACCGTGTGTTTGGATTGTTTTAAACGGCCCTCCGATGATAAACGCGCGCCTCTTCTCTTTCTCCCTCTCCTTCTCTCTTTCTCTCTGAGATTTAGCAAATTCACGGGGAGATGGGCCAGTGAAATGGAAATTGAAATTTAATTTCCAACGAAGATGTTATCCGCATTCAGATTCGACGCTTTAATTCTCTCCCTCTCTCTGTGTCTCTCCCTATCTCTGTGTTTCTCCCTATCTCTGTCTCTCTCCCTCTCTCGCTCCCTCTCCTTTTTTTCGCCGCAAAATTAAATTCTTAATATTTACCCGGACTCTGTTGGCTCTTCTTGCAGCGGGTAAAAATTTAGCGGTAGTCTCCTCGCACAGGTTACACGTTTACACGTACACGCGAAATAGATCCAGTTACGGCTCGTTAACGTGGACAATTATTAGCCCGCTGTAAACTTCCATCAGTGTTCTCCTTCTTTTTTATACTCTTTCTCCTTTTCTTCGGTACCACGACGCAGCAGTTAATAAATCGTTAAGATGCTTCCGCTCGAGATTTCTATGGTCACAGTGTTCTCTGGAACACGATGAAGCAAACAATTCCGGGCAAGCTTGTCAATTTAGTTGATTAACGGGATCCCGTGTGCTTGGTAAAATCTTGCCTTTTTAACCGTTTCTCCCATCTTCGGTCTTGTAAAGCACGCTATACCGCCTCGACACATCGATCTAATATTTTACACACTAATTGGAACTCGAAGGTGATCAATCACATTCGTATTCATTTCAGACGTTCAGTCAGGATGTATATCTTCGTCGTGTGCTATCTTCTGTGGATATCCGGGGTTTCTGGGGTCAAGAACATCACACACGGGGTGGCGAGACACCTTAGGTCCATTGGATTCCCCGAGGGCAGCGGCATGGGGGTGAAGTACCGAATAAATTGTTCTTTCTTCTTAATAGGGTACACCAGCCTGACTAAAAGTAGGTAAAGTTTGAGAATTTTTTTCGTAGGTAACTGCTAAATGAAAAGTTTCAATTTTTTCCGGGGGACATAAGTATAACTTTCAGCATTTTTTCAAATTTTTAGAAAGTGAAAGTGTTACAAATTGGAAAAGTTATTCGCTATTTGCTAGAACATCGATTACTGGCCGCCATCACTGGCAAGGATTAGAATTTCTGAAATAAAAAATTCTTTTCGATTTATAAATAAACATGTATTATCTACAATGCAGAGATTTTTCGAAAATTATAATTATTCTATTATAGAAATGGCGTTTCTAAAAAATTTAATGAAATGTCGAGAAAATCATACGCTACATTGTAGCTAATGCATTTTCATTTATAAGTCGAAAAGAATTTTTTATTTCAGGCGTTCCGATGCTTGGAATAACTCCATTTTGTAAAATTTTTACTTTTGAAAACTTGGAAAAATGCTGGAATGTAAGATTTGTATCTTCTGAAAAAATTGAAACTTTAAATTTAGTAATTACTTACGAAAAAAATTCCCAGTATTTATTTCTACACGCATCTCGTTGTTTTTTCTATTTATTGCATGTTATATCGAAGTCATTTCTAATATTCGCCCAAAGAAATAATTATGATGACAGAAATAACTTGTTACATTTACAGATATTCTTCGCCCTTGGAGTGCCTATTGATATCCCTGACAAATCAGTGCTATTTTCGATGTACTTCGAAGCGAATTACGGTCTTCCAGGTGAATGGAATTCCAGTTACTATCTGGACGAACCTTATTTAAAAAAACGTAGTCTGGATCGACGATTGGCTTATGATATTCTTACAAATAAATTGGAAAGGTGATTAGGTGAATTCGTTAGAAATTAATCGTGAAGAAATGAAAAAATTGATAACATTTTCTCGTAGTTTCGGTTATTCTGGAAAGAGTTGTCTATTAAAAATAATCTGTGAAATTGCCAACTATCCTGTAACCAATAACGGAGTGCTCGGCGAGGTGTTGCAAATTTTATTTACGTAAGTATCGCATGCATTGTCTTTTTCTCTCAAGTACAATTTTCATAGAATTTTTCCGATAAATTAAACCTATCGATAAGTTTCGAAGTACATAAAACCGTTTGAAAAACGAGAAAAAATTATGACCTCCTACGATTTTCATCACAGGCCATCCTCTTCGCTGGATGAGAATCTACCGAGCGAGATTACCGATGCTGAGTACGTGAAAGACTGTAATAAGCACTATAAAAAATGCCCTCAAAGTCCATTAACCTTGATAAAGCCAGCATGATCACAACGATAATAATCGAAGAAGCTGGGGTATTAAACGCAATCTTCATAATACTCTTGGTATAGTTTATGTCGCCAGATAATGCCTAACCTATAAAAAAAAAATAGATACGGGAAGATTGTTATGTCGCTGAAATAAATTACGTCGTCGAACGATGAACAATTCATGTGCAATAATACTATGTTTATTCAATCGGAAATACATGCCTTCCTCCTCTCTTATTCTGCTTTCATTTCGAGAAACATTTCCAAATTTCTCTAAAACACGAAAATGCTTCGGCCAAATACTCGCGAAGCACGCTATCACCGCTGAAAGAAAACTGTAATACATATACAACATATTTATAGCTGCTCTTTTTATACGTGTAAAATGATACGCCTGCGTTGATCTAATCTAATAACACGAGAATAAAGAAATCATAGAAATACATACGAACTACTCCACGAGATGTTCAAAACAGAAGTCAAATTTATCAGAGACACTACACAGAGTTAAATACAGTAACTAAATGGATGAAATGAAATAGAATTACAAATACGTGGACGTGATTTCTTACGTATGCGTAAACAGTTCGTTCAAAATATAATATCTTATAGTAAGAAAAAAAAGAAAGATTGTGTTCAATGTTTCGCAAAATAAATAAAAAATCCCCGATTAAGTGGTAAGAGCCCGATCGCTGTATTCACAATTGATTTTCACAATAACAATACAATTATAGCGGTGCTCAGCACCGTAAATAGACATGGACACAGTGTATACATAAACGAAAATTTAGCTTAAATCTCGCAAACATATAGATGTGAATGCTTTTGTTTTTATTTAAGAAGAAAAATATATTTTTGTTTGCAATTATATTAAATGCGTTTTACTCTGTGTAATTTAGATGCAATGTTACACGATCAATTTTTCGACGTCGACGTCGATCTTTCTCTTTTAAATGTAGTACAGGACTTCCAGAAGTGCGTCTCGTTAATTACATACACTTCAAGTTTCTTCGACTTCCTTCATCAGAATGGGCAAAGTTAGGTCTTCGTTCTTCATCTTTCTATCTCGAAGATAGTGAGACATGTTTTCGTACACCACGAACGTGATCACAGTCGCCGGAATTACCCTGGTCAGGTTCGCGCTCAGACCCTTGTAAAAGCCACGCCAACCCTCAAACCTGCAATTAACCACCAGCAATACCCTTTTGTTAATTGCTTCCTATCTCTTTCTTTCTCTCTATATGTGTATGTTTCAACAGTTTGTTTGCTTAGAGCTCGTTTCAATTGACTACGTTCTCATTCGCACTATACTTGAACCGGCGTACGATTCTTGTCGTGTTTCATCGGATCAAAGTCTGTCTTTTAATAACACAAAAGAAAGCAACCATATATCACGAACGACAACTGTGTATTTATTGACGATTATCACAAATGGTGTATGTACTTTTATTGTTTTATGTAAATGACACATGTATTATGTAATTCTATTACATAACTTTTTTTTTTACTATCAGTTTAACAGTTATCTATGTGAATTAAATTCGTTAAAAGGAATATAGATAAATGGAAAAGAGATTTTTCAAAATCCAGACATTTCCAATTCTACACAATTTATTTTTCTTATCCAGATGGCTTTGTATCTCTTTGATATGATTGTAGGTACACATACAACGTCATAATCGTCACTCACAAACGTCCAAAAATCGTACTGCTGGTGGTTTAACAAAATTGATCCGTGTCTATATCGCAATTACATTCCATGTCTCATATACTCATGCAAAAACACGCACGCATAATACACATTGCTCTCTTACATATTTTCTCGTGCGTTAATATGCCTGTGGTCCCGCCACAGCAATTAATTGAGTCGTAAAAAGTAGTCAAAAGTGAAAAGATGTGAAAGAAGAGGGCAGGTAATCGCTGCAAACTACTATTTGAAAACGATCTTGTTTCACTCGAAGAAAAATATCTGAAAAACCGTGTGGAAAACCAAAATCTTATTCGACAAATATTATTCTTCCAAACGAGTTCCAACAATCTTTATACGCATAACCATTAAAAAATACTTTGCGCTTGCTATTTGTAAGAACAAACAGAAAAAGTGAGCGTCTAAATGATTCAGTAGCTAGTTCATAGTAGGAAACAATTAAGCGCTGCTTTCAGTGTTTATTAAGTCGTTTTCATTGTTATCCTTCTTTTTTTTAAATAACGAGTATCCAGTCACGGCTAATAGTCTGTTATAAATAAATTCAACCTAGTACACGAAAAGTTGCAATGACATCGAACTTTATTGCTACATTTTAGTTGCACTGAGTACCAGACTCTACGACGAACTTTGCAACATTTATCTATTGGTTTCTCTCGAAACGAGGTACTTATTAATTGCATACAGAATTATAATGATAACATAGAGTTAACAATTAAATTGTATATAATTATTACATTCTTACGCACACCTGTCTCGATTTCTTTTTTTTTTTCTTTCTAAATCGAAACTTACGATCAACACCGTGACTTACAAATCACGTCAAGATCACAAATTTGTCTATTTATTCGCATTTGAAAAAACATGGTATGCTTATTACTGCAGGCATACACGTGGTTGTGACTTTCCCATCTTTTTCATGACACATTCGTATAATTCGCCAATTATATATGTATATGTATTTTTTTTTTACAATGAAGTACAAATTGTTTTCTTTTAAATAAAATAGTTCTTAATCCAGTTACAAATCATATCAATTTATGCTAAATAGGACTATTTAAATGTAATTTCATATTAAAAAGATATTAATACACGTGACATATATTATCATATACTTGAGTGCCAGCCCGAATCAAAATGTTGCTAATAGGAAAAATAGTTTGAACTTCTTTAAAACATATAAGTTTTCAGTTTTCGCGATTCACAAGGGCAAATAAAATTACATTGTACGCGTGAAATGTCGAATAAATAAAATATATATGTTTAAATAATTCGTATATAAATTATTGCGCAGTTTTAAAAATAACGCTACTAACGCTTGTAAAGAAAGTCTAAGATGTTATTTTTTCACTAAGTTTTTGCTTCATTTTAAGGTAATTGCCTGATCTCGAAAATATAATTAAATAAATTAAGCACCTATTTCTAAAGTATCAAGGCATTTACCATATGAAGACTACGATAATGAATTATTATTAAGAACAATAAAACTATTCTCAATAATATTCATTTGCTGTTGTAAGTTTCATTCTTAAAAAGAGTTCCCAGGAATATTGTCTAAATTAATCGAGTAGCTGTACTTGTTTACAACTACCAAGAAGCTCCTTTTTCATAATTTACGCTGTTGAAATACACTTGAAAAATATATGATTATCAACAACACTACTTTTTCAATCAACCTATACACCAATCTAAAAAATTAAAGAATAGTACGACAGAAGTTTATACTTCAACCGATTAATTGTATGACCATTTATACGAAAATATATGTGAGTGGGAAAATAACCACTTTCTTCTAATAGTAATACTGTTTCGAATGTACCTTCGACTAACAAAGAAAACAGACTTTCGAGTTACAACCCATACAAACTGACTTAAACGAAAAAATGTCTCTCTTGATTTACCTCTATCATTTAGCAGATTATATAGGGCTGGGAAAATCCAATATATCAAAGCATAGCTCTATCTCGATGAGAAATTATAGAATATCTTAAATGAGGCTAATTATAGTTGTTTTTTCTACATTTAAAAATTGTTTTAGATTAATATAATCTAAGGAGTCAATGAGAATTTGTAGGCACATTAGAAAATGTCTCGTAAATTACGATAATTAAACAAATATTTGGTGTGACATGTAAAAGGTATGGTGTTAAGCCTTTATAAAAACCCCTTAATCCTTCTGACCTCCATATCGATTCAATGCAATGTACGCTGCCCTTGTAGTTATGGTGATGATCTTGAAGTCGTGCTCTAACAACTTGATAAGGATAAGTTGAGGCGGCCGCGATTAATTTTGAAACCGCCGCAAAGAAGATATATTCCAATGTACTCTGTAAACGAAGACAATATTTTGTCGTAATTTTTCTTCGAGAAATATATCAATCTTCTCCACATTCATACGCTAAACGTACCAATTTAGTATCAATCGGTGAATTCAAGTATTCGTTATACCAATTCTTCATCTCTTCGTACACCATAAATTGAATAGCACCGTGAGAGACGCCGAACATTCCAGGAACAAAACCCTACGATAGAAAAAATTCCTAAATTCGTTTAAAAATATACGGTGACGTCAAATTATATATATTCCTAACTTGTTGTCACAAGATTAACTTACTCGATACAAGCCTCTGAATCCTTCGGTTCTATAAATCTTTCTAATTGCATCCAGCATGCCGTTATATCTAAGTGTTTCAGGAAGATGTTTGTCATCCATATACTGCAAGCACAAACGTGTCTTTACTACCCAAAGCGGGTTCGTCATTACTAAAGTAAGAATTCCAGCGTCTGCTGCTGCAAACATGTGCATCGACGGTCCCAAAGGCTTCCTGCTGTTTCCTCCTTGGATCCATGTTTTAATGGTGTTGTAACTAAATGAGAATAGTTCCATCAGTGTTAGAAATATTGCACCAAAACTACTGCTATCAATTAATATCGTTTAAGGTCCTTACAAAAAGAAGTAGCAACCCCACGCACCGCCAGATCCTAAAACATTCGGTGTAACTCCTCTGTAAAGTCCTCTCACCCCTTCAGTCTTAACAATCTGCATGACAGCACTCTTAAGGCTCTTGTATTGCGGCCCCGTGCGTGAATGACCATCGCTAACTGCAAAAAGAACACCATGATGAATAATACGTCTTCCATGCAGGATTGAAATGAAAAATTGGCAGAAAACAGAATGGTATTTGAATTATTTTCGACGGTACCATTGTCCAGTACGTTCGCTATTTCTTCGGCTGGCGGCGATAACGAAGAGGAGACAGACGATAAGCGAAATCTAATTATTTTTTTCCCTCGTCACGTGTCGCGGGTTTATCTAACTCAAGCTTAATGCAACTCCAACCTCGTGACATTTTGTCCCAATATGGATGTTATATTTCATTTTTAATTACCGAGCAACGATGTATGTTTAATTCGTTCGAATAAACAGCGGCATAATAACTATGTGTATTCTTTTCTCTCATACGCGAGATGTGTGTCCCGATAAGTTATCTATATTGTGACATATTTGTAAATGCATTAGCCCGGCGGGCTGCACATTGCAAAACCATCGAAACCAACGATAATAAATTCTCAATAATAACACTGGTGACGGCATGTTTTCGTGCAAATAAAATTTTCTGCACACTTTCCATTAATAACCATTCTCGCACGTGGTGTAATATATCCTATATACAGAATGTCTCAAAAGTGTTCTCTGAAAAATTGTTTATTTTTAGTAGCGAACAACTTGGAGGATGATCGCGTGAAAACATTAAATTAAAACACCCTATAATACATATATTCATTTCACGTTCGTCGCTCGTGACAAAATTTTCACAATAATTATTAAAATACCTGAACAATTGTTTATTTTTAGTAGTGAACAGCTTGGAAGGAAATCATGTGCGAAAATGAAATTGTAATACCTTGTATATATTCATACCACATTCGTCTCACGTGCCAAAATTTTCACAATAATTATTAAGATTCCTGAAAATTGTTAAGTCCGCTGAAAAATTGTTTATTTTTAGTACCGAACAGCTTGGAAGGTGATCGCGTGCAAAACTTAAACTGGAACACCATGTATATATCGATATTACATTCGTTCCCCGCAAAAAAAATGTCACGATAATCATTAAGATTCCGTTACATACAGAAGATCATTTTATTTTACGTATAAATGAAAAATTGTACAATTAATTTTATTTTTACACACATATGCAGATTACAATAATACGATTATAAAATTATTCAGAAAAAAATAACGTACCGCGATATAGTTGTAATAAATCGAGCCAATTCGAGTTAATTCGATTTTTCCACGAGTCGCAATTTAAATCACACGCGAACGCGTTAAAATGTAAATGTTCGCCGCTCACGTGCTGCTGACGCAATCCGCGGAATTTCTTGCGATTTGGTGTGTAGCCAATGAATTTTACGACGAAAATACGATCACGATCGAGCCTCCCGGTGACATCGTCATCGGCCTCTCTCTACGATGATAACGAGATCAACGACTACGAAGCGAGATAAACTCGTTTTAATCCTACAGTTCCGTTTTAAAGCGTCCTCGTGCACAGCAGTCCGGTCGCTGTGAATAAACTGCTATTTTCAAACGACTGACGCTTCTTCTCGGAAATTGAAGTAAAACTGGTTAATTAAGAGAAGTGACGTCGATAAACAGGAGTAGATCTTTCGGTAGACAGCATGGAATAAATATTTGGGCAACCACTCGTCAGACAGCATAGTCATACGAGGAAAAGGAACAATACGAAACTGGTATTGAATAACATTAGCGATAACCTGAGGGGTTCTGGGTAATCGTTTCTGTAATTCAAGCACAGCATTTCTATCGAGCGACGTTAGTGATAATTTTGAGCATAATATGATACAGAAATTTCGTAGAAAGTGTTCTTGATACTTTATTTCCCTTTACAGTTGAAACAAAAAATAATAAATAGTAAGAACGAAAGGCAAGGATCGTAAAAGTGTAAGTGTCACTGGAATGTCTACTTTCCACTCTTAAATGTGATCGAAAGTTGACAATGACTTTCCATCTCATTTCGGAACACGCATCTGGCCACCTTGATGTAGCTTTTACCCATTCGCGTGTTTCAAAATTGCTCAATTCGTTTGAAATCGAATCACTTAAATTACACGTGCTTATTTTGCCAATCTCACAAAGGGAACAACACAGAGAAATTGAATATAAAATCAATATGAAATACCGAGTTTAACGTAGTAAAGGAAAACAAATGGTTTCATTCAATAACCTTCATTTGTACAATAATAATGCCACGAATGTATTTACATTGATTCCAGGAACTGTAGGGCATAATCAAAGTGAGACAACAACGCAAAATTTTTCCGTTAGAAGCAAAACTACTAGATAATAACAACACTTAATGATAAGAGACACTTTTGACTATCGGAAGTTCCACAAAAAATCAATAATCCTGTAAGTGTTAATAATGTTAAACACATGTTAGTCTACTTGATAATTAAATTGTCACTGCAGACCCGTAAAACAGCTGCACAAACTTTTACTTTAAAGAAACAAACGACGAGATGAACATCTGTAACTTCCTGTTTAATGTCGAACGTCTGAAGTATTATAATAGACAACAATAAAGGAACGAATTTAATGGCAGGCGGAAGATTCCTAGACTGGTCGAGAATCCTTCTCGATTGTTCTCGATAACGCCACGTGCTTTCTTGAGACGACCTTGTTGCTCGGGCTTATAGGAGCGCCGACCTGAAGTGTCACTGCTTTTTTCGGGTCTATTTTACTCAATTATCACTACCCTAAGCATTAACCTATCGGTCTATTGTACATAACATGTATAATACATTCAAAACTAGAATACTGAAATTTATCGAATGAACGTTCTTTTTCGTGTGTCAAACATTTATGCAAAAAAATTTGTCACTCTGCCCGGTGTGGTAGTTAAGTAGATCAAAAGAATGAATAATGTTTGCCATGGCATTCAATTTCTCTCAACTGATTGAGAGAAGTTCAAACTAGACAAAACCGCAATAGCAAATGGCGTGTCATCTGTTTTCAAAGTTTTCAATCACAAGTACAAAGTGATCTAAGTAGAAACTTCACATAAGTTAAATTTGTCTTATATTGTATCAGCCTACGTTGAAGTATAGAGAACTATTTTTTAAAAAATCGTTGGAAGTAAAAACTATTCACTAACCGATTAACTTAATTATCACTTGAGGTTCTCTAATTGTTCGTTCTGTTAAAACTATCTTAATAAAACCTTCGTCTTACGCATCGATTATTAAATCGAGCGACATAGTCGAGAGCGTGACTCATAGAAGGCAGCCATGAAGGCACATGAGAATTTTAGCATCTACAGAGTACAAATCGTGTACCACGTGTACGTATATCGAATAGATGAAATATATACTGGCCATTTGCATCAGACCGTTATGTCGTCGGCAGTGACACTCTCTCTTACCTGCGAATCTGGTCTTGATCAGGTCCAGCGGGTGCAGCATCAGCGTCGAAACCACGCCGCCGGATATGCCGGCAACGAAATGCTCGTATTTGAAGTGGCTCAACACGGGGAGAATGCGAGGAGTCCCCGGTGAACCGGTGGTCTTCATCGCCGACATTTTTCCCGTGTCAGGCTGCTGCTCGTTACACGTTATCGATCCGTCAGCGGAAAATCCAGTCGCATCGTTCACAGCGCTAGCAATGCTTGTATCCACTCTGCGGCATATCTCTTGATCCGCGGCGGGCAGTGTTATTGGCTGTCCACGTAGCAGCGCTAGGCACAGCCGAATTCGCCTGTCTTATGAATTGTCGCTTTCCTTTTGTCTCGCTCGCTCTTTTTTAACAGATTACGCAATCCCACGAAACGTCACACACGCCGAACACCAACATACTGAGCGACTGACTGGCACGCGCCGCCAACTTTGCGCAGAAATCACTCTGCCTCAATTACGGCTGCCCCCTTACGTGCAAATGGTGAATTGCGCACCCTTTGGCGGGAAATTTGATTCGAATTGTTAGCGGGAGCCGTTCCTTAGCGCCAATTAGTAATGATATCTTTTCTTTGTTCCAGCTGACGCTTGTTGCTCAATTTTTAATAACTATTATTGTATTTTTCTAATGTTTACTAGAAAAAAATATACGATAAAGGATATTGTACGTTGAATTTGAAATTTTTGCATGTTGTTAATTACGAAGATTTTGTATAATGAAATAAATAAAGATGCTGACAGAATATAAACCAAACTACTTTATAGTTGATAAGTTTCTAATTGAAGACGTAACGGTACACGTGAAATTTCTTGACAAATAACATTTATATTCTTAAAAATAAGTGACGAATATCGATCGACAAATTTCGCGAGAAAAGTGTACTAGATAACTGCGAAACTTGTTTGATAACGTCGAACATTGCTTATCTTTTGAATTTCTGATAGGACTAGTCGTGTATTGGTAACCGGTGATGAACGGATAACGAATTTTTTACCCGTTCTGAAGATAGAATATCTCAGATACCGTTCTGGCTTATTCCTGTATTGGCACTCGGTGAATTGATCGATGCACACCAACGTGTGTTTTACCTATTGAATTATTGTTAAAAAATTATCATTCTGGTAAGTGAAAGACAACAATTGCCGACTATTTCTGTCAACAATTGTAACAATACACGTTGCACATGCTAAAGTGCTTCAATTGTATCCGTCGATATTAAATAATAAGGTGTGAGAAAACCGCGGTGAATTCAAAAAAGTTTCTGTGTTGATAAAATAAACTTTCGAATAAATTAATGTGTTCTCTCTAAACATATCTTTCCTTCGGAAAGTTCGTCAAATAAAAGCCGATAATTTTTGCAGAATGTAAAAACCAGCGTATGGGGAATTTTTATATGGTGTACGATTTGAACGGGGGTAAATGAAGAATGATCATACTAGTGATTCAGTAAGTGAACAAAGACAATAAATTAATTCGACCGGAGAGAAAGAGGAAGGAAGAGGAAATAGTTTCTTCAACTGCAGGACATTGATTTCCACGCGTACGCAGAAAAATGGTAAGAAAACTTTTACATAATGTTTCATATCATCGAAAAAACAAATGTCACACTCGTTATTAAAAATAATCGAAATTCTGAGAAACACTACATGTTTGAACGAGTAGGTAAAATCTCCTCGTGCAATATTCCTCGACTCTTATCGATCGTTTTATTCAATCTAATCGTACACTCCTATAAACACATGTCCGAGCTTTCGATAATTAAAATAAACTAGATATTAAAACAAATTAGATGCTTATCGGAGATTGTTTCAATGTCGAGTCTCTCCCCGTTCACGGTCTCGAGTCATGAAAAATTGAAAGAAACAAAAAAGGAGAAAAAATAACGGATGATAAAAATATGCAACATCATTTGCAGCAGAATTCTCAGGGTCACCCACATTTAATCGTCTCTCGTTGAAAGTCATGGAACTCAAGGTTGCATAAATTGTTCGCACGTCAACTTCCTTAATGTATTCGAACAGCCAAAGAAATCCGTTCTAATGCTCTTCTAAATGGACTCATTAACTGCGGTTTACTTGAAATAAACAAACAGTAACAAGAGTACAATTTTCCTGTCTCGTCTTACGCAAGGGAACATTTGCATCTCGCGTAAAGCACAACACGCCGTTTCTTACTGGTTACGTGTATATTTACTTCGTAAAGGATTCAAAAAACTGTAGGTATACACTGTGTCACGAGAAAAACTATCACAGACGATAAAAGATTTTCTCTGAAAAAAAAAAAAAAGGAAACGATACAACTAGTGTATTATACAAAAGGATAGTGATATCTGCTCTAGATGCAAGCGTAAGCGTGTAGGCTGCGTCGACTATTAGCACTGTTCACCCAGATAATTGTCAAGTTCAGTTCTACTTCGCGAGTCGTCTAGCTATCAGCTTCCTCTGTGCGATATATCTGTTTTAAGTAAGAGTCTTTCGAGAAGAAAATGCAATGTGGTGTTACCTTCACGAGAGTATCTGTCCATACTCGAAAAGGATGCGCCTCAGGTACACGTGCTTATCGGTGAGTGGAACCAGCAACCGTTTACTCAGACGAGCAAACCAAAGGCCAAGAAAGAATTCATTATGTGTCAGATATAACGTGTATCTCGATTGTTCGCTCGTTCACATTCGCGTGCCGTTATCTGGCCGTCCCACGGATTTCTTATTTTATTTTTAGGCATATGCAGCAACGTAGTATCTCATTTGTTTGACATTCGATAAACTTATTCAATCGAGCTTCAGAGCTGTTGTAATTAAATCATTGTACTCTTTCGCGTGTATCACTTTGCTACCAGTGGCTGGAGCAGCTGACGGTGGTCTACCGCCGTAAACCACATCCTCCAAACGCATTCCAAGTGCTACGGCTATTCTGTCTCTCACGTACTTGTAGCCACCTTGATTTTTATGCTCCTCTTGAATCCACATCAGCTGAATTGCGAGGAAATTTTTTTTTATTTAAAATTAGGGCTCTTACCGATGACCGGATTCGTAGATATCTGAATCTTGAGTAGCCGAATAACTGGACAGCTACTCTCAAAAGATCCCCAAGTGATAATTACCGATTTTGATTCAAGTTTGGTATATTCAAGGAAATATTAGACACGTCCTCAATCGTCCTCAAAGTTGGAGGTAGTGTATATATATTTAAATGTATTCAGTGTAGATTGACAGATTTTGTATTTTTCAACAAGAATTTTGAAAAATAAGAAATAAATCATTTTTACCAAATGTGTTTATTATCCATCTTTGAGAGCCATTTTCACCCCTTAAATGTGGACGATTGGCGATAAAAGAAAAATACGCGTCGAATATTTTGTTGAGTACTACCATACAGCAAAGTTTCGTCAATATCGATGATTATCAATTCGGGATTTTCCTTTGTTAGCATCCAAGTATATCCAGGTACTCGTGTGATTTGGATTCGGATATTTACGATAAATTTACCGAATACTAAATATCAGCGTCCTATACGCACTAATTTTGAAATTCTTTAATCTTAACTCGGTTTCTTTAATCTGAATCCAGACAAGGGAAGCTTCATATTTGAGTAATTAACGAAGGAAATCCGATTTGGGATACTCGAATACTCGAGTACTCAGACTCGGATTTCGACATCAAATTCCAATTATAATTAGTGTATCGAGTACTCGGATATCTCTGTGTTTCTTCGTATATTTCGTTTACCTTTGCTTTCGGATATTTCGCCATTTCCTGCGCTAGAAGATGATAAGGAAAAGGACAGAGTTGTTCGATTCGAATAATTGCTATTTTGTCCTCTAACTGCTTTCCCTGGCGAGCTGCAACCAGGTCGTAAAACACTTTCCCGCTGCAAAGCAACACCTTTTGTATGTTCCCCGGCTTGACAAAGGGATCAGGAAGGAGTGGCCTGAAGGTTGTGCCTGTTTCCATGTCTTCAAAGGAGGACAGAGCCATTGGGTGGCGCAGCAAGGATTTAGGAGACATAATGACCTGATTTAAACGAAATGAATCGCAAGTAGGTTTAGCTAAATAATAGGTAAAGCGATATTCGTTTGTTCTGAGCAATTCCATTGTTGAAATGTTCAAGAAAGGAATGATAGACAAAGTGTAATCCGGCTAACCAATGGTTTCCTGAAAGGCATGTGTATTTGTCGTCGAAAAGCGTGAAAAAGGTTTGCAGGTGTAGTCAAATTGCAAACGATCCAATTTATTTCGAACAATTGTCTATTCATGGTTTGTTCTGGACTTTCTCCTGGAGGAGCTCCGGGTTCTTTTCCGGGTATATAGGTACAGTCGTCGTCGCAAAGCTCTAAAAATCGTTCCAGTCTAGCCGACGAATGCTCAGGACCCTGACCTTCCATTCCGTGAGGCAAAAGCAACACCAATCCCACTTGCCTACCCCACTTCGATTGTCCAGAACACAAAATAGTGTCCAGAGTCACCTGAAAGCATTGTCTCGTATCACTGAGAGATCTTTATCGTAACAATATCTTCGATATTTCATAAGAGATAAATGGTATAACAGGAAACACAAATACTCGCATTCGCAGAAATTGCATAAACAAATTCTATCTATATGTAGTTGTTTTTCGAGGAGTGAGATTCTAAATACCTGACAAGTGTTCGCGAAATCGCCAAATTGGCCTTCCCAGATCGTCAAGACATTGTGATTGTAGGCAGAGTATCCTAACTCGAAACCTGCGTTCAAGATTGACAACAATTCGTTAATTTCTTATAGTTAAACCTAGTACACTCTTCCGTTCGAATGTACACTTAAGGATCAAAAAGACCTTTGGGTCAATTTTTGTTACCAGCACATCTCGAAATTATGTCCACGAAGTTTTAGAGCTTAATTCTCAAAATTGGCAGAGATATATGCGTTCAAATGAAGCGGTTTCATATAGACTTAAACTGTAATTAAAATTTTAAACGCGTTTTTCTCGAAACAGCATTTTTGAAACTGGCTGACATGATTACCAAAAAACCAGAATTCGTATCCACTCCAAATTTGTCAGGTATATTCAGTAGATGTTGCTTTATCGCCTGAACTAGAATTGTGCAAATATTTTCAAAATTCAGTCTTTGCTCTCAAAAAACCATAATTTTTTTGCTAAAATCGAAGGCAATTTCTTTGAAACCTTGTCATTTCTTTATTCCTCGATATTTTTTTATTATTCTAGTTCAGACGATAGCCACACATCTACAGATTAAGAATACGTTCGCATTTTGTATTTTGGATAAGTACAACGTCTGATATCATGTCAGCCATCAGGAAGGACACTTTTCAAGGCGCTCTCTTCACGGTGGTCCTACTTTACAACAAATGATGGTAGAATAAACATGCAAAAGGATACGTGTAGCACTTGCTTTGTTTTAAATTTCCGAAAAATTAAGTTTTTTCAGCCGCCACAGTAGAAAGACCCCTTAAGGGAACATAAAATTGATAACAGCAAAAGTTATTAAAAGAATAAGAAGGCGACTATTTAAGGTTAATTCGATGGTTTCAGTCTACACCAAGACTCACCGCAAACGCCATATTCCGACAGCGAAGAATTCGAGACGGTGTACAAAGCTTGTCCTGGAAACACGTTGTGCAAAATATTTCTGTACGACATATCTCTGCTCTGATCGTGAATGATGTGCATGCGATGAGAGAAGGTACCTCGCTCGACATCCTCACCGGACAATCTCACGTGATAACCCTCTTTCAGCAAACTGAGAAACGCTAGACACTCTCCCATAGCCCAATCCGCCTTCCTAGATTCCATCAGCTGTGACCGTTTGTCCATTACCCTTAAAACCTGCACGCAAAACGAAAGCTTGGAATCATCAATGAACGTTCTCCTGTAAAATAATCGAAGATAATCTTTATCAGGAAACCCCAAGAACACTTCCGTTCGCTACTTTCGAAACCTATGTGTGTAAAACCTTGACAAAGATTCTACATTAGTGAAATTCCTAGTATTCGATGATTTCTACAATTCATGCTATCTTCGTCATACGTCCAATGGTACACCGATACCCTATCAGCGTATCCTCAAGCTTTTGAGTAAATTTCGTAACGCCACACCCTGACTTTTGTTTACTCAACAAACGCGCACTTGACTATGGGCCTCGATATCATTCGGTGGAGTGGATATCGCCTTGCAGATCGTCAGCATGGTGTCAATATTAATGCCAGTCGGTGGTATTTTATTCTGAGGACTCTGATTCGAGAAGAAATCGGTCCACGGTAAATCGTGCCAGTCGCTCAGGTTCATCGAGTCGATCGTTTTCGCTTTCTCGAACTCTGCTTCGCAGTAGTCCAAGTACTTCTGCGTCTCCTGAAGAGATACAAAGACCGGTGCAAAAAGAACAAGCTACAAAAGCTTGATTATACGCTGTGAATTGTATTTTTGTGTACTTCTTTGGCGAATGCTTCTGTGATTATTCCTTCTTTCAACAATTTCTCGCTGTATATACTGAGAACGTTAGGATGTTGCTTTATACGTTTGTACATCAAAGGCTGCGTTAACATCGGCTCGTCCAATTCGTT